AAAAATTACAAAAAGTACTATTTTTTTACCTAAATTTTATTCTATTTTATCGAAATTCGAAATTTTTCAAAAATTAATAAATTTAAAATAATTTTCAAACCAGATTTATTTTAGTCTGTTGATTGGTTTTTTAAGTCATTTAATTATTAAGTTTAAATTTCTTATTGAAAATTTGTTTTTTAGTTGTAGGAGGTATTATCAAACGACATTATAGTAAAAACGAGATATAATATTGGTGCAAACTATCTATTAATTGAAAAACAATTTAATGAAAAATATTTATTAAATAATTAAAATCTTTTCAATATTAATTTTTCAACTTTTAAACAATTTAGTCCCAAACATTTATGAAAACATTTTCTGGTAGATTTTTTGCTGCATCTAAAAGTGGGGCGTCCATAATCATCTTTTTTTAGACATTTTATAGCTTAACCAATTTTTCTTCATTAGTTTTTTATGCTGATTCTGAAAATCATAATCATTTTTTTTTTTCATTTTAATTTAGCCTTCTACTTCGATTTTAATAAAATATTGACAAAAAAAGGCATTGTTGAAAATAGATGAAATTATTATTATCATTAAATATAAGAAAAATAGAAAAGCAGAAATCTTTTTCTGTTTAATTTATCAATAATATACTTTCTGATTTATAAGTAACAAAAAAAAACTAAGCATTATATATGAAAATAATTCATACAGTTTGTTATTTACTATTGAAAATGGAAAATAACTATAAAAGTCATCATAAGCAATAGAGATTGCTGCGGGAATTTAGAACATCTAGGTTATGAGCGTGTTCTTTGATAGACATAAGATGGAGGTTTGTATTTTTATATCAACAAAAATTTTTTTAATTTATTTAAACAGAATTTAAACAGAAAAACAGTATTTAAACAGAATAGACCTCCGCGGCAATGACTTGCATTGTATCCCTAAAATAAAAAACCTCTTTTTTCGAACTTTTTTTTCATTTTAACATATCTTTATCTACTTCAATAATGTCTAGTTCACAGCTAAATGGGCTGCCTTGTAACTTTAATCAAACTAAAATAGAACTCATCTTGCACACCTGATGTAAAGTTTGCTGCTCTTCCATTGTTATCTATTTGTTTTTGTAGCTAGTTTTAACTATATTACATAGTTTCAACTTTTTGGAAAAATAATTGGACAATAATTTTTCAAAATATTTTAAACTACGCGAACCTTCATTTTTTATATGGTTTAAATAATAAAGTATACATCTACTGTTGAAATTAAATGGGTTTTTTCCAAAGTTTTCCAACTGCAACAACTTAATTAGAAAGTTAATACTAATCATATTCCATCATCAACCAAAGACATAATACTTTTCTCTTTTTTGAAGTCCTGAGGCTAACTTTTGCCAAAATACTCTAGCAAGAACGATACAATCATTCAACTTCGTTGAGGTATGCTTATTAACTGCTTCTAGATTTTTTTTAACTAACTATTCACTGCATTTTAGAGTAAAGCAGAAAATTTCAAAATTTGATCCCCCAGTTTGTTTTTTATAAAGCCTTTTAGGTAGCGGTATTCATTAAAGAAAAGTAAAAAAAAAAAAAAAAAATCTTGAATAGCATTCTTGATAGTTTAAATAACGATTAAAAATTAATAAATAAAAAGGAAATTAAGATATTTTGAAGCAATCTGTCTTTTTGATTACTTAAAACGTTTTGTTTAGAAAGAGACTTCAGATAAAACTTTTTTTTGAAGCAATCTGTCGTTTTACTTGTTTAAAAACGTTTCTTCAGAAAAAGACAGATAAAACTTTTTTTTTTCTAAAACGCAACGATTAAAAATCAAATTTAAAAAGTTGAGTAATTTTATAAGCAAAGAAACTTTTGCAAAGACTTTTATTTTTTATATTTTTAAATTTTTAAAATAGAAGTAGAAGGTCAACGATAAAAAATTGAAGACGATAAAAAATTGAGCAAAAACTGAATCGTTTTTTAACTTTTCTCAAAAAATTAATTAAGAATAACTAGTTAAACAAGAAATATAGAATTTTGGACCCCTTCCCCCCAAGTTATAAAGTTTCTGTGCATGGAGTAACGTGGAGTACTTTGTTCTTTTGACAACTACACGTTCATTTCACACTAGAAAACTCAGAAAAGCCAAATGAACAGTCAAATTGAATATACCATAAATACTTAGTATGCATACTTCATACGCACTTTTTTAAGTATACTTGGTATACATGGTATTCACTTTTTCATTAAAATCATAAGTAATTTTATTATTTTAAAATGTTGTTTTTCTTTAAACATTTTAATATTTTGAAATTAACAAAATCAATTACTGAAAGTGAAAAAGAGTAAATGTCATTTGCTTTATCCTACTTTGTGACGTAAAAAAAAAATAACAAAACCGAATTGTCATTTATTTATTGAAAATGAATTCTATGCTTGAAGTCTGCTGCATTTAATTACACTTTATTTTATTCTGAACAGCTTACATTTTATTCTGAACAGCTTACATTATATTCACTGAGTATTCCTTTCTGTTTGTATAAACCTTTTTTATGTTAAAATTTGTTTGCGTTATTCTATTTAATTTTTTTTATATGCTAATTTACTCCCATCAAGACGGTAAATCACTCCCAACAAGATGGCAACCATTGTTAAGTAAAGATGGCAACCATTGTTAAGTTGAGATGACAACCATTGTTAAGTTGAGAAAAAAACAAAGAGTTAAATTAAAGTGTAAGAAAACGGTTGTTAGAAGAAAAATTTGAAGGTTGTATAAGTCAAAAAAACATGTAAAAAACTGGATGGGGTAAAAAACTAGATAAACAGGATAAAAATATTCGACTTTGCAGAATAACGAGTCAACCGAGAAATAAATTTGATTGCTGAAGCATGATAGTGTTTGTGAAAAAGACAAAGAGATGCAACCTTGCGACGATGGTATTCTTCTCAACTCAACAGTCAAAACAGGTGCAACTGTGTTTACGATGCGTATTTGCTCCTTGTCTAGAAGAAAAAGACCATCTTTAGAAGAACCAGCCCAAGAATGACAACAGTATTTCATACAGGGACAAATTAGAGATTTGTAGAGATAGAATCAGGAGTAAGATAATAGAAGTACGATAAAGAGAAGCTACCTTTGTTGTTGTCATCCTGGGCAAATGTTAACTTTGCAATGGATTGTATATAGGGGAGAACGGGGCAATTTTTAACGGCAAAATATATTTAAAAAAAAGGAAAGTTGGCAGACTAGGGCTAGTTGAAGTACATTTTATAAAACTAAGTTTAAAAAAAAAATTAAAGGGTAATGAAATAAGTCATAGTGACAATTAATCCAACATTGGGAGATATAAAACCTATCCCGCAATGGTAAAAATAAAATTAAAATGTTGCTACTTACATCGCTCTTTGGCAAGTTGCAGTTGCAGTCCATTGCAGTGAACGGGGTAAGTTGCAACACAATATTTTGAAAATTTTGAATTGAGCTCAAGAAAATTATTAGTTACTTTGTAATTTATATTATTTCACATATATTTTTTTATTTTGTTTTTTTATGCGAAATAATATAATTTACTAACTAATTTAAAAAGGAAGTTTATGCCTTTCTTTACCAATGGCGCGAGCTCCTTCCTTACCAATGCCCAGAGCTCATTTTGCTAAATTGAGTTAGGGGTTATCATTCATTAGTATAGGAATGTCGACAATATTGCAATAGTTAATTGCAGTAAATAACTCAAATTAAGTTAAGTTATAAATAACTGAATTTTAATAAATTTATCATTTACAAGTCACTGCAAGCCCCAAGCTTAACGGTGAGATCTAATTCAAGATTTAAACTCACAGACTTATTATAAGTACTTAACTTTTAGCATTATATTAAATTATTTAAATTATCTTAGCAAACATTTTTTTGCAAAGTTAATTGAGAACTTTTTTTTTTTTTTGATTTCTAGATTAAAATAGTAAAGAACATAAATTATTTCATTCAGGGTAAGGGCTTTGGTTAGCAAATAATCTTCCGAAGTTCGTTTGCTAAGCTAATTGACAATTTTTTATTTTTTTTGTATACAAATTAAAAAGGTAAATGGCATAAATTTTTTTAATTTAAATTCAAAATTTTTATTTGATGATATTTCTATATATTTTTTAAATTTCTATTTAACTTTTAAATTTGTATTAAACGCAGTTGTAGTAATATTAGTAATTATATATTTTATTTTAAATTTAAATCTTATACTTTTAATTGCTGAGATATGCAAATTCTCTCTTAATAAATAACTTGTTATTTATGTTTAAACAACAAAATAAAATAATTCGAAAACATTTTTATTAAATTTTTTTCTAATTTACCATAAATATAAAATATATTTATGATTAATTAGACACTCAATAAGTTATCACTAAATTACATTAACGTCACTTGAGAAATGTCAGATTTCGTTGTTGATGAAAATATAAAAAACACAATATCTATCAATATTTAAAAAGCTATTAAACATTAGATACACTCTTTCTTCTTTTTTTAAAAAAAATTTTTTTGTGTATTTAAAAAAATAACCCTGACTTTATGATTTTCCTTGTTGTTTTTGTTTGTTTTAATTTAAAATTGTAAACGTGTAAAAGTTAAACATTTAAAAAAATTTTTCTTTTCAAAATATTTAGTTTCATCTTTTTGTTTAAGTATTAGAAGTAATAAATTTTTATTTTATCTTTTTTTATTTTACAATAAGGCATGACGGTAAGACTTTAGTGTGTGCCAGTGACAAAAAAAAAAAAAAAGTTCGTATTTTATATTTGTCATGGTTTTTTCAACAGTTTTTGTCGATCTTTTTAATTTTCCTCGTTTTTTTAACTTTTAAAAAATCAGTTTCTTGATTTTTTTTTTATTGGAAATGTATTTCATAATTATTTCGTCATAAAGAACAAGAAAAAAAAGAAAGCATCTTTTAAGGAAGGATTTGTTTTGTAATCAGTTATGTAATAGAGAAATAAATAATATTCTTTTTTTTTTTTTAGCTAGCAGCATTCACAAACCTTTGGAAAGAAGCAATAAAATTAACCATTTAGCAATCAATTCCAATAGCACCTTTAAAAAAGAAAACCACAAGTTTAATTTACGCAATAAATACGTTATTCACATGAGTTTGTTACATCGGGCTGCAGCCGAGTTAAAAAATGTTCTTAAAAAAAAAACTTTGACTTCAGCAACAAAATCTTTTATTTTGCACAAGATTTTTGATTCTAAAGGTGATCCAAGAAAAGACTTATTAGCTAGAGAAATATTCCGAGAGGCGATGACACCCTCTTATCCAACAAACGGTGTTACAGGAGATTTAGGCGCAGAGCTGCTTAAGTTATCTGTGTACTCTAAAAATAATTTTATTTCAAATAAAGCCTCTAAAAAATCTTTTAGGAGTTTCAGAAACCTTACACGGGTAAACTCTAATTCATTCGCTAAAATAGACCCTTATGTTGTTCCTTATGTTGTTTCTCATTTAAGCAGGCGAAAGATTGAACAGCAAATCAGACATAAACTTAAAGAAGTTTTGCGTAAACAACACACTTCACCTGGGTTACAAAAAAAATTATCAGGGTTATTAAAAAACAATAGAACTTTGCTAAAATCAAAAAAAGGCATAGAGTTTTATGAAATAAAAAATACTCCAATGAGAAAGATTCACAAACCAAAATATTTAACTAATAAAAAAATCTCCAATTCGGGTATAGCAATCAAAACTAGTAACAAAGATAAAAACCAAAAAACAATAATATCTGTTAAGTCAAATAAACTGGAAAATAATTCAAAAATAATAGATAAGCAACGTCACTTAGATAAACAACGTCAGCGTAAAGATTTTGTCATTGAACTTGACGACGACAATGATGAACAAAGGGATTTCGATCCAATATTATCGCTTATTGAGAGGTACGCAGAATCACATAACCATGATTTTTCTGTTGTTGATGAAGATGAAAATAACGATGAACTAAAAGATATTGAAGATGGGTTTGTCACTGCAAAACGCCGTAAATTTGGTGAAAACTTGTTCTTTAACTCATTTAACGAACAAGAAAAAGACGAAGAAGAAGAAGAAATGCTTAATAATAGGTTTAATAATTTGATTGGCCCTAGTGACCAGATTGCAGGAGATCAGTTTTATTCTAACCGTGAGTTAGGTATGTTAAATGACGAAGAAGCTACAGAATACGAAAACCCACCAATTTATGATGATATAACTGACTCAGATGTTGCTTTTGAAAAAAGTGAAGAAGAAAAAAGAAGAAGAAGCAGAGTATAGTTTTTCAAAGCAAAAATCAAAACAAAATAATTATTATGAATACATTCAGGGTTATACTGTCATATTGTCTCTTTCAGATGCTATTGTCAATGTTTTGGCCCTCAATGTTTTCCGATTATTGCTTGTGAGATTTTTTTTTTTAATATGATTTACGTATTTACGATTGAATTGATTTTAAAATATAATTGACTACATATTATGTAGAAAAAATATTCTTTCATAAAATAGAAATATTTTTAAATAAAATAGAAAAAAATATATAAATATAAATTTTCACGTACAAACTTTTATATATAAAACTTTTTTTGAACTTTATATATTAGATTCTATTTCTTAAATTTTACAGAAAGAATTTTGTTTAAATTTCTTTTTAGTAGAAAAGCCTTTTTTTTTAAATTATATAAACTATACCGTAGAAATGGTTACGGTATCGTAGAAATGGTTGAAATAGCGTTAATTTGAAATTTTTATTTTTGCAAAATATTTTTTAAATTTTTGGACTTGAAGGGATTCTGTATTAAATAATACCATAATAGCTTTTATTAGCCTCATTTGACTGATATTTAAATAGTTTCTTTTATCTTTTTATAAATTTAAATAAGAAGATAACGCTTTTTTATTTACAACAATCAAATGCTTTTCAAAATCAATATTGTTAATATTATTAATAATAGTATTAATAATATTGATTTATATATTTAAATTTATTGAAAAATTAAAGAAAAAATTGAAATATCAAATAAATAAGGCACACAAGATAAAGAAATAATCTTAAATTATTTATTCATTTGAGCTAAGCCTATTGTTTGAGTTTTTGTTCTACTCCTTTTCATACACTTTATCAAGGTTGCAGGCGTCTTGGTTTGAATGATTTATCATAAAATATCCATATGTCTTTTCGGTGGTCCCTATTTTTCCAGATAGACAAGCTGGACAGATGGACATCATTTTTGGGAGCTCCAACTACAGAATATTGCGGAGGTCAAAAAATTCATTACTAACCATTTTTCGTTGGTCAATTTTTTTGTAATAAAACTATTTGAAGTTGGATACTTTAACAGGTATCCTGTTATCTTTTGAAATTTTCCCATTTTTATTTGAGTTAACAATTTACTTTTTAAAATATAACTAAAAGCATAGAACTTTCTTACTTGGTAAACAGTAAAGCGTCTTTTACTTGCTTGATTTAAGAATAATATCAGCATACTGATTAAGTGTGTAAACTCTGTCAACTCTACGAACAACTCGTTTAATGCAGCCAAAACCTCAATCACAGCGTAAGGATGAGTGATCTGGGAAGTAATGACAAATAGTTTTAAATACTCCTCTATTGTAAAGATTTATCATGAGCTTCATTATACAATAATTTCTGTTTTGCTACCACTGAAAAGAATTAAATGTTTAGTTTCAATAGGAATTTATGTTTTTAAATAATGTAATATTATAAAGCAAACCTCCTATATATATATATATATATATATATATATATATATATATATATATATATATATATATATATATATATATATATATATATATATATATATATATATATATATATATATATATATATATATATATTTGGGTGTCCCAAGGCATAAGCGAAAAAAAAAATTCGCGATATTTAATACGCATGCCCCTTAATATTTTTCTATTTTACCCTAACTATTCAAATATAAAATATAAAAGCGATTGGACAACGGTATTGATCCCAAACACAAAATATTAATTTTTGTAGCAGGTTTGCATAGAGAATTTCGAGAAGTTGATTAAATAAAACACTAATATACCCAAAATTTATATTATTAATATATAATTATGTTAATATTTTATAGATAAAAAACATTATTCTGCAAATTTTCTTTTTAAAGTTTGTTTTTTGCAATCAGGATAAATCTTTCGGTGTTCTTGCACGCAGCGTAATAAAAATTGTTTTTGTTCCTCCTCGACTGTTATTGGGCCATAAAACTCTTGCATCATTTTGACTGCTCTTTCAGCAGTATCGTTGCTGGTTCTCAGCATTGAAACCTTCTTTTTGGCATCCTAAAACGAAACTTTATTTGATCATAAAGAAGATTCTTCGTCCAAAAATTTGTGATCATTTTGCAGCTGGGTGAACAAAGTCTTACTTTTCACTGAAACAAAGTCGTAGATGTTTTTATCTGAAATAAAAAAATAAATACAATTTAATTTAAAAAATAATAAGTAAATAAAAATAACAGTTGCTATATTTATTAATAAAACTTACCATACAAGGAACCACAGAGTTCCTCTTTAGATGGTATATAGCGTTTACCATAGCTCGATATAATGTCACTTTTAAAGTTTTCAACCATTTTTATTTTATCTCCTTGGTTGACATCTTCGTCAAATAATGATTAAGCAGCTACTTCATCACTTAAATACCATAGATGCTGGCTTAATTTCTGCGTAGCTGCTTTCGAGATATTTTTGTCAATTGTTTCGTAGGCTTTCATTGATTTTAAAAAGCATAAATCCTGATATGGTGCTTTTATAGCCAAAATCCATTGTAGCCACGGCTTTACGTAAATGTTGCAATGAATAAGCAAACATCTAATGGTGCCTCCTTATCCTTATTCGACATTTTTAATTGATCATTAAAAAGTGTCATCTTCAGGACATGAATTGCTTTCGAAATTTTATTTTAAATGTTCTATTTTTATCTCAGCCTAAAAATATGATTGAGAGCTGAATTATTTTGCGATAGTCATCTCGGACTATTGACTTCGTTAACTCAGATTCTTAAAATTTCATCAAGTTTTTTATTTCTTAAATAGTCAAAAAGAATTTGATTTTTTCTTTGAAGCTCTGTATTTTACTAGAGTCGACACTTTTCCAGTTATCACGGAACTTTTTAAACAGCGGAATATCAGGGCTTGTTGTTACTTGGCTGATTTTTGCTTTTAATACGGCTTTTAATATTAATTCATATATGTGATGACGGCAAGCATAAATGAGCAAATCTCAGTCTAGTTTCTGTTCAAGCAATACACAGGTGCCATTAATACGACCTGTGTTAGATGCCGTAGTATCACAACAAAGAGTTTGAACTTTATCACCAAGATTCCAGTCTACAAGTGCTTTCCAAACCGCCTCTGCCTGTTCTCTTCCTGATGAGTTTTCTAATCTTGGCACATCAATCAATTGTTCTTTATTTCCATATGAAACAACTATCGGTAGACGTTCTTCTTTTGATTTTCAGGCATCTAAAGCAGGCAACAGTTTTCCATCAAAGTGAACGGTCACAACCTGTGGCATCTCATTTTGAAAATCTATTTTTAGCTTCAGAATATTTTTATAGCCTCAATTTAAAGAATTCGCATCAAAAAACGCTCTTTGCGTTTTTTGATGCGAATTCTTTGAATTGAGGACTTACTTATTGGAAATTCATCAGTATTGTATCCAAGTTCCTCAATATTGGTTTCAAGAATATACACATAATCTCTCATACTTAATTGACACCTGTCTAGCGCTGCTACTAATTTTGGAGTGATGAAGTTTTACCGCATAGATATTTCACTTGTTTCGGGTTGCGCGCTCTCGAACTGGGTTGGTAAATCTTCTTCCAAGTAATTAAATCTTTGTCCGAAGCAGATGATGAATCTTTTTGTAATGTATCATGAAATGATGACGAAGGAATTGACTCTGCAAAATAGTTAGATTTTCGTTTCTCTTCCTCAATAATTTTTAAGCGTGTGTATGGCATACATAAAGATGCTTTACAAAAAATTGCGATGATTGGAGCTTGGGAACAAAAAAGCCCTAAAATTTTGGCCCCCTGCCTCAAACCATGTCTGAAAATTAGACCTCAAAAATCTCAAAGACAAAAAAATGCAATTGGCGCGACTGAATTAGACGTATATTTAGATGTATTTTAGACGTGTATTTAGAAATATTTTAGACGTATATTTAGACGTATAAATTTTAATTAGCTATATTGATTATCCTTTATGAGAATCATGATAATCGTAATAAAAACTATGATGAACCACATAAACTTTATGTAGTTCATCAGATTCTCATAAAATACTAAATAAACAAGTTTTTCCTTTATGATAAAGGAAAAACTTGTTTATTTAGTGCTTTAATAAAAGCTGATTTTTCTTTGAATGTTATGGAATGTGAAATTGTGGCTTGGATACTTTACAAAAGTTTTTTATGCCTGTGGTTTTCTGTCTCAAAGAATGTCATTAATGGTTCAGCCTCTGCTACTGCTTCTTCTACTGAAGTTAATAACAAATTTGGATTTTAGAAAAGCACTGTGTGTAGCAAGACATGTTTTTAATATAACTTTTTTAATTACACGATTGTGCAAGCAAGTAATAATGATATTTATACTTTATATCTTATTCAAGCATTAAAAGGTTTTGTTTCTAGTTAAAAATATTATAAATCAACTACAACTACAACTTTTTTGTCTTGCTAGAGTTGTATCACACATCCATCTGATCATCCTTTCTTTCGGCAAATACTACACCATATAAATACTAAAGTTTTTATAATATGATAGGACATTTTATGCCAGCATCTAAATAAATAGCAAACATTTATGTTTGTATCATTTTATGTACGTATATAGCGCATCTTGGAATCTTTCGTTTCTTCTGGAATAAAAGTTTTGAAGCTTTTATTCTTCTTTTATTCCTTCAATTTCAAGTCATGTCTCATTCTACTCTACATTTTTCCCCATATGGGGCAATTTTTTTATTAAAAGTTAATCATTTTTTAAATCTTTTTTACCAGAACAACTCCCTTAAGAACAAATGCCCTTTTATTATTCCAAGAAGCCAATGTAAAATGATCCTGTTAAGCTCTGTTATTATCAGTTTTCTAAATCTTGTATCTTATCTCAGATGTTAGGTTTTAGAGACTTTTGGTTAGACTTCAACATCAACTAAATTAAGTCTAACATTTTATCTCTAATTCATGGGTCTAGAAAACACTTTGACCTCTCCAACTATCCCACGATCTTCATTCTGTTATTTGTTTCTCCAATTATCCCACGTCTTCATTCTGTTTCTTTATATAAATATTTTGAGATTATTGTTATTAGTTTCTTTATATAAAGATTTTGAGAATATTAAATTATTTCTTTCTAACTGCAATATTAAAATTATTTTTGAAGGCTTACCCTCTTTTTTATTCTTAGTAACTTGAAGGGTACCATCTTTGCTTACCTCTTTTTTATTCTTAGGGTACCATAAGATTTTATCTTTACTCTTGTTCTAACCCAAAATCTTCATGAAAATTTTACATTCAAAGTGGCTCTATTTGCTGACAACTCAACTTTATATTCTTGTCTTGACAAAAAATCTTTACTTTTTGATTGCTTAGAACAAGCAGCCGGTTTTTAATCTGATCTCTCCTTTGTAATAGCTTAAGGCTTGCAATGGCTTAAGGCTTGCAATGGCTTAAGGACTTAAATTCCACAATTTTTGTTAGACATATTGCAATATTATTTATATTGCAATATTGTTGGCATTCGTATATTGACGAATAACAAACCTTTTACTCTCAGATAAAGTCTAAAAGCACATTGTAAATATAATTAAACTTGCTTTATCTGCCAAGCTTGTTTTCTAGTATTTTAACTTATTCTCTATAGTAATAGTAATAGTAATACAAACTGCTGTAACGACGATTGTCGCGGAGTATAAAGTTTAAAATTTATACTTTAACAGCCGTTAACAAATGTTTATCTAGTCTAGCTTTAAAAGAATTTACTGTCATTGCAGAAACCACATTTTCAGGTAAAGCATTCCAATGAGGTATCACTCTGTTCGTAAAAAAATTATGTCTCGGTGTTGTTTTTGCAAATTCTCTTTCAAATTTCATTGGATGACCTCGAAGTCTCTGGGAAGAAGCTTTATTAGGCTCTTTATACCATAATATCTTGTCAATCCCAGTTGTTAATTTAAAGAAAGCAAATCTATTTTAAACTAACTCATAACATAATAGTGGTTGCTTGCAATCTTGTTGAAGGTAAATTAGACTTAAAAATATATAAATATATCCCAGTATTTAATAAATAGTAAATGTAAGTAAGTAATGTAAAATTATTTTATATGAAGTATTATAAATTTTTTTGAGCCCCGGCTATCAACCCCTACTAAATCTTTTAATTTTGCCGGGGCCGGGTTTGCAAAAAGTTCTATAGAATTTTCTATAAACTTTTGAAATATATAGTTAATAGAACTCTATAGAATTTCCATATAACTTCTATAGAATCAGTGACGTATCCAGAATTTTTTTGTGCATACTGCGGTTATACCGCATACCGGTATACCGGCATACTGCATACCGGTACCGGTCTAAAAATCCCATATACCTTTGAGGATTTTTTTTTGTTTGTTTCAACTTAAATTTAAATATAATTATTTGTATATTTTTTTTTATTTTTTTATAAATATTTATTATAAATATTTTTTTTATTTTTTATAAATATTTTTATACTTTATAAATATTTGTATATTTGCATATTACAAATTTAATTAAATTAAATCTGCCATACCGAAATAAATGTAACATTATTTCGGTTAATTATTTAAATAGTAAGGCAAGTTATATATTATATACAAATAATTATATTTAAATTTGAGTTAATTATAATTAACTCTGCCATTGATTCGTAGCTAATCGCTAATTTTCATTTACTTGCTCTATTCGCTAACTAATTATAAATTATAATTAATACTAAATATTAAATTAAAGTTATTGAATTAAATTATTAAATTAAAAATATTAAATATTATTAACTGTAAATATAAAGAGTATGATTTCATAAACAAGCAATAACTATAACCAGGGCCGTACCAAGGGCGGGGCCAGCCGGGCCGCGGCCTGAGGCGCCAAAATTGGGAGGGCGCAAAATTCCCCAAATTAATTTTCACATAATGAAACTAATTTGCGTGGCGTCACTTTTATGTTGATAAGAAAATTAAAATTGCGCCTCCTGACGAACTTTAAAATAAAAGCTCATTTACCAAACAGAAGAGCGCCCTTAAACACTAAAAAGTTGTATTTTCTGAACATTATTTTTTACAATGAATCGTGCAAAAAAATTATCTGGTGCTGAATTTAAGAATAAAAGAAGAGACCGTCTTGAAAGTGACGCAAAACTAAGAAATTATTTTTCAAGAAGTGGTTGGTAACAAACTCTTCTGTGGAAAAACAAATTATTTCAGAGGATATTTGCAATGAAGTTGATAATGATTCAACAGCTGAAGTTGCTGGTACATCTTTAATTACTGACTTAAATTCATATCATCCATTGGAATTAATTGAAGAGGAGATTTTGATTGGCCAAAGTCAAGACGAATTTGGACCAAATGATTCAGAAGCACAAGAAGATAGAAATTCTCAGCTTTCCAAACCAATTAAAATGGGCAACAGTGAATTTCCTCCTGAAATCTCAGAAATTTCAGCAACCTCAGGAGAAAACTTTCATGACAGTGATCCAGCTACATGGCCTAAAATGACAGATAAAGCAAGGTGCTTTTTGATTCAGCACGGGCCGGAGCAAGAAAGAAGAGAAATTTTCCCAAACACACTTTGTGACTTTGACAACAGAATGCGACACTTCAGCTCAAAATGGTATGAAAAAATTCATCCCAATGGTGAAAAATTTGTTCGCTACTAGCTGCTGTACAGCAACAAAAAAGATTCTTTGTTTTGTTTTTGCTGTCTGCTATTTTCAACGACAAAAACTAACAATTTTTCAGAAATTTCAAAAGGATTTTATGACTGGAAAAAACTAAACCCAAAAATTCCAGAACACGAAAACAGCAATGAACACCAAAGATGCTATTCTGATTGGAAAAATCTGGAAAAAAATCTCAAGGAAGGAAAGACTTTGGATTCTGATCTGCAGAGAGTTATTAACGGAGTGATGAAAAAGTGGAGAGATATCTTGAAAGTGATTGTTGATGCAATTTTGTTCTGTGCCAAGAACAATCTTGCCCTTCGGGGTTCAACAGAAGTAATTGGAGAGCAAAACAGTGGCATCTTTCTGAACTTAATTGAGCTGATAAGCCATTATTACCCTTTAGTGGCTGAACACGTTGCATCCGTTAAAGCAAAGAAAACCACAACATCCTACTTTTCTCCTCGCATTCAAAATGAGCTGATTGAATTACTTGGGCAGAAAGTCAGGAATGAAATTTTGTCAAATGTCAGAGAAGCTAAATACTACTCTGTTTTGTTTGACTGCACTCCAGATGCCTCCCACAAAGAGCAGATGACCCAAATAATCAGGTATGTCCACATCAGTTAGGAAACCTGTACAATTGAGGAAAGCTTTGTGGACTTCATTGAATCTCACGAAAAAACTGGAAAGGGCCTTGCAGCTAAAATCACCGAAAAACTGGAGAAGGATGGCCTGAGCATTTCTGATTGTCGGGGCCAAGGTTACGACAATAGAGCCAATATGTCTGGAAATATAATGGCGTCCAAGCTCACACCCATTCTCTAAATGAGTTTGCAAGATTTGTTCCATGTGCAGCTCACACTTTAAACCTTGTTGGTGTCCATGCTGCTGAAGTTTCTCCACTCATGATTACATTCTTTGGAAAAGTTCAAGCCATCTTTAACTTTTTCTCAAGTTCTACCTTAAGATGAGAAAAACTGATGAAAACATTGACCATCTCACTAAAGGGAAATAGTGATACAAGATGGTCTGCCAAAAAAAGAAGCACCCCACTACACAGACAAATCAAAGAAGTTCTTTAAGTTTTGGAATCCATAATTCACACTCCCAAGACAAATGCTGTCTCAGTTTGCAGTGCAAAAGAGCTCATCATTAAAATTGATTTCAGTTTTCTGTGTTTGTTGGATTTTTGGTGTCAAATTCTTTCTTTAATTGACCGGGAAAACAAACTGCTTCAGTATAAAAACATTTCAATTGACATTGCAGCAAAAAAAATGAAAGGGCTGAAGGCTTCCATTCAGAATCTGAGAGATGTTGGGGTGGACAACATTATCAAAGCTGCTGCAGAAACAGCAATCCAAATTGGAATTGAAGGAGACTTTCCTATGAAGAGAAAGCGAAAAGTGAAGCAGATGGCACTTTATGAAGCTGAAGATGACTTTTGCCGTTTGTCACCAGAAACAGATTTCAGATCCCAGTGCAACCTTGTGTTTGAAAGCATTCTCACACAAATTGAGTGGCGGTTTGAAGCTATGTCTGCAGTATCCTCAGATTTTGACTTCCTCAGTGGACATTCTCTCTCCAAAAGTTCAGTGGATGAACTTAAGACTAAAGCCAAAAATTTGTCTAAAATTTACAAGGCAGATTTAGATTCTTCAGATTTCCAGTCAGAAATGGCAAGCTTTAAATATCAAGCTGCTGCCATGATGGAAAACTTTGAAAAATCTAGCCCGATGGACATTTTGCAGCTCATTCATAAATACTTATTGACTGATGCTTATCCTAACACGGCAATTGCTATTCGCATCTTCCTCACCTTACCAGTTACAGTTGCCACGTGTGAAAGAAATTTCAGTAAACTTAAGATCATAAAAAACTATTTGAGATCAACTATGGGCCAAGAACGTTTGTCTTGTCTGGCAGTAGTTTCAATTGAACATGAAGTGGCCAACGCACTTGATTTTGATGATGTCATTAGTGACTTTGCCTCCAAAAAAGCCAGAAAAGTGACCTTGAACTGAAGTTTGTGAAACATTGGTGACAAATTGTTCTTTTAACTTGATGCGATAAATTTTGTGATCAATAATTAATTTTTTTTTTATGTAAATATATATATATATATATAATGTGTTTTTTGAATATTTTTTTGGGAGGGGGGCGCAATTTTATTTGCTTGCCCGAAGCGCAAAGTTGGCCTAGTACGGCCCTGACTATAACGTTTAATATACAATATTTTTTGTCTCTTTTAAATAGACGGGAAAAGATTTATTACATAGCGTATTTATTGCATAACAAGGTCAATTCATTCGAAATTTTAATTACTTTATTCAAAAATTAATAACTTTTTTTTTCTAGTTCTACTCTTACTTTTCAAATTAAGTTTTATGGCGCGAATATTAAATGTTATTACTTTTTAAAAACTTTTATTTCTTTTATTATTTAAAATATTTTTTAATACAATTTTACTGTTATACAAAATGAAAAAGTGTAAAGCTAATCGTTTTGAAAATTATGTTATGAAAACGTAGGCGGAGGAGAAACTCAAACTAATGTTTTTAAAAATGTTATTTAAAAATGGTAAGCGTTTTATATTTTAATCCAATCAAAACGTGCGTTTTATATTTTAATCCAACTACAACTTATTCTGTATTTCATCAACGTGAGTTCGAATTAAGCATTCTTGTTTGCTTAAAATTTATTTGTTAAAATTTATTTATTTATTTAACATTTATAATGTATTTTGAAAATCGTTTTTCAAAAGTTGGTTTTTCTAAGCGACATTAATATCATAACAAATGCTAATATAAAATTGTTTTAAATTGAGTTTGGGCTGAGATTTGGGGGCCCATACCGGTATACTGGTATCAAAATCAGCCTAGATACGTCACTGAGAATGTCTATTAATTTCTATAGAAATTGCTATAAAACTTTTTTTTTCTATAAAAAAAAAAGCAGAAAAAAGAAATTTCAGTAGGAGTTTTTATAAAGTTAACAGAAACTCTATAGAAATTTTATATAATTCTATAGAATTTCTATAGGCCATATGTTTCAAAAGTTTATATAAAATTCTATAGAACTTTTTTTTCTGGGTGTATTTATACCCATTTATTAGGAAATTATGAAATATAATTATAATACTTATTCAGTTGATAAAAGATTTGTTCTTTTGAAATAAGTTTTAAAGTTGTATTTGTCGTCATTCTTTGTAAATGCCTGCTTTATTTATTATCTTGTCACTAATTTCATTCTCCTTATTTAGATAAGTTTATAAAAAACAGTAAAAAAAATTAAAGATGTATTGAGTTTATATTTGGGATAATAGGTGATTTATTTGGTTATATTCTGAATGTGACACTACCACATAAGAAAATGTTTATATCTACAGGCTATTGTTAAAATATAGCTATAAACTTATTGCTCTAGACCAAATACTTTGAAGGGCGGCTGGTGATTTTAAAAACAATATATGTAATGCAGATTGGCTGGTGATTGTAATGCAGAGAATAAAAAAAATCCTAATGAGCTAAGTCACTTTGTGTAATTCAGCGAGCCTGAAAGTTTTTAGTTATTTCAAAAATGATTATATAGCGGTTAAAAATTGTTTTAGCTATGAGCAAGGTGTGTTTTAAAGTCGTCGAAGGTGATTTAAAAGAATTTGTTTGTTTTTTTTTTCAATACAAAATTACAACAATGTATTGCTCATCTCCCATGTATCATGGCAATTGCCTTTGTGTTATTTTACATGCTTATTTAATTTTTATCGAACACTTTATTGAACTTAAATATTTTCTTACCATAAGAGCACTAAAATGTCAAAGTTTACATAAGAGTATAAGAACAGTTAAAAATTGCAAGTTTAAGTTTAAAGTTTTTGGAAATCCTCTTACTTGAAATATTATAAAATTAGTAATAAGTTTATTATTCATAGTTAAGCAGTTTATTAACATGATTTCTGTTTTTCTTGTTGCAGTGAAAGATTTTTATAATAAATACTATAAGAGTTATTTCTCAATTACTATTATAGATGAAGTGACTGCAGCTTCACTATTATAGATGAAGTGACTGCAGCTTCACTATTATAAATGAAGTGGCTGCAACTTCACTATTATAAATGAAGTGGCGGTGGATTCAGCATAGAGCGTGGGGAAAGGAGCTGGCCACCCCCTCCCCACGCTCTCTAAGCCGGTTAACTTGTGCTCTCTAAGCTTATCAACTTGCGCTCCCTAAAATATAAGTTTCTCATAACAAAGTTCTACGTTTATTTTTATCGGAAATAGAAAACTAGATAACAACAAACCATTGCTTATATACCTGCTATAAAAATTTGCATTATTTACGGCAAAAAAAAAAGCGGAGACGTTTTGTTTAAAGAAAATATCTCCTAGAATCGCAGTCAATAAATTTTTAACATAGTTTGCAACATAGTACGCAGTCAATGAATTTTTAACATAGTTCAGTGTATCAAAACTACTGTAACTATAGCAACAGATATTCATAAAACTACAATGGCTTTGCAAACGGTCAACGACTTTTTTTTTAAAGGAGAAAAACAAAAACTGCTTAGAAAAAGCTAAAAAAATCTTTTTTTACGGTCTTTTTTGAAGATATTTGATTAAAACGTTAAAAGATATATTCCACAACAACTTCAGATTTCCAAACAGCATCATATACTATCTTATTTATATTGTATAAAAAATTCGAAAAATCAATTTAAAGGTCCCCCGGATTCAAATAGATAACTGGTTTTAATCAATTTAACTTTTGCTATTGTAAAGTCCATTAAATTTGCGCTGTTTCAAAAAGAACAATCGAATTTTTAATAAACTTCCTTTTCGGCCTTTAAGAGAAGCAATAGTTCTCCACTATTTAAAGTAGTAGTTGAAGCTGCGCCCAACCTTGACTTTGGTTTTAAATAAGTTTTACACCTCTTTCAACACAGTTATTCACAACTGGAAAGTAGTTTTTTGAGGCTAAGTATTTTATAATTTGGCTAGTCACCTCTAAGATGGATAGATATACTCTTCAAGCGACTTATCAACCCAGTTCCAAGTGTTGCCTAGCGATGAATAAGATGATTATGTTCAAGTCAATCAAATTCCGTTAAATCTATAGGCTCTAGAGAAATAGAATCCCATATGTTTTTTAAAATTTTCACATTTGGTTCGATAGGTTTGTTATGATTTCCACAAACTGCATCCCAGACGTGACAAATATGCTGTTCGCAAACATGATAATGGCAAGCTAAAATAATACTTGATGAAAGTATCTTTCTTGGTGTGACAACGCCGAGAGTTGACAATTATAGGAAAGCTTTTTTGGTTTGTATTGTTTGATGACCCAACTATTCGCCAGAATAGCAACATGCTCTTCTTTATTTCCTACATACAAAAAAATTTTAATTTTAAATTTTTTAGTATTTTTCTATATTTGCATTTCCAAACACTTAAAACAGTGAGCAAAACTAATCGTTTATTTAGAAAGTGACGAAACAAGTTTCAAATCCCAGTGTCTGGATGAATGAAGAGGGCGCTTCTCCTGAAATTTTTCCTTTATTTGGGCATCTTTTTTTTCTCATTGTAGCCTACGGTTACGGTGTACTGATGATCGCGTGATTTAGCTTTTGCTTCAACAGCCATTTGATCTCTTACGCAGAGGCCTAATCAAAAGGAAATATCAGTGAATGATTTTATTAACGTTCTAGGATCAATAGCAACAGTTGACAATCTGGCTTTTAGTTTTGGATGGAAGGGATTAAACTCTTTGTCTTCTGATTTGCATGACTCATCCGCACTTTACTCAACTTTTCTTCTGTTTCTTTATTAGTTAGAGCTGTTTTTTTACTAAGCTGCGGGCGTTGACTCTGTTTTCAAGAAGTTTATTACAATCAGATTTGTTCTTCTCTTGGTGCGCAAAACTTGTGTCGCAACCAATCTTTGAAACAACAATTGAGATAAACAATATAATACTACATTATATATGATATCAATTACCTTAAGTAATTGCAAAACGCAATACTTTTTTTTTTTTTTTTTTTTACAGCAACATTGTTGAAATAATGCATAAAATTACCTGTGGATACTTATGTTTATTCAGCAAAATCTCCCAGTCCTCCTTCCACGTTGCAAGTTGAGAAGTGTCAAATATTTGACTCATTCATTCAAAAAACTGTTCTTGTTGCTTTTCGGAGAACTTCTTTTCCTCCTTCGACACACTTTGTCATTCAATAAAAACTGCGATGAAATACTCGACTTAAGTAGTAAATGAGGTCTTTTCCAAACTTCTTGAAATTCAATCAAGATATCTATTTTTTGTCGACACTGTCAGTAGCCAGGAATATGGACTAATTAAAGAAACAAAATAAGAAAACGAAATTCAGGAAAGACGGTTTTCCAGGCTTCATTTATTCTCTTCTTTGGTCCATAATAAAAAGTTAGCTGACATATCTAGAAAAGAACAAAAGAGCTTGTGAAATCTATAGTGCTGAATTGTTTTTACAAAACAAAGCTGGTTAGTTTGCGCAAATTAATTTTGGCTAAATATATTTTAGGTTTCTTTTTAATAAACAACTACATTTACACTCAAGGTCACAAATTCAAATTACTCAAACTAAAGTTTTACTCGATGTATGTAAATATTCTTTTTGTTATTCCACCTCTTTCTAGAATTTAGACATCTAAAAATGTGTTAACATTTTAGATGCTAAAAGACGTCTAAAAGACGTGTTTGTGCTAGCTAAGAAACAATGCGAAAAGAAATTTTCTTTATACTGTCGTTTAAAAATAATTAATTGGTTGAAATAAGACAATTAAATTTTTTTATTTAGACACATACGTTTCTATTAAATAAAATCTTTTATATTCAAAAAAAGATGGTAAAGAAGGATTTTTTTTTTTTTTTTTAAGTAGGGGATTCTAAAAATTTTATATTTTTTAAAATACTTGGTACAAATAGTTTTTTTTTAGTCTAAACCTCAACTTAGCGTGATAGTTCAAAATATTTTGTGCGAATGAGTACCCTAACC